TTCTACATATGTTTATTATTTTGGACTCTAAATACTGTGTTTTATTTTGAAAAAGTAATTTGATGACACATGATTTAAATATAAAGGTCAAAACTTGTTCTTTCCTGTTGAATATTTCATTATAGAAGTAAACCATATCAACAAAAAATGTACAAGAGCATTAAACAGGCAAAACCTGTAAATTTCAACAATTTTGTTCTAACCCCAGGGTTAGAAAGTGTAAATTGTAACATAAACTTTGTGGTCATATATCAGATTTATTTGTAGGAAAAATCAATAATTTTTACCCTAAAACAATGTAAAAATATTTATTTATAACTTTTAAATACTAAAATGATTTCAATTTAGGGACTAAAAACCTAAAAATATTTGGTTAATTATTGTGTAAATTGTAACATAAATCAGTACTATCTCAGGAAATAATAAAGATAGAACGCTGAAACCCAGAGGGTTAGAAATCTTAAAACAGAGGAAATTCGGGTTAAATCAATCAATTAAATCAAAGAGATCGATTTTCTACCCTCAAATATGTTTATGTTACAATTACACTATTTATGTTACAATTTACACTATTTATGTTACAAATTACACTTTTGAATATTTATGTTACAAAAAGTGTAAATTTATGTTACAATTTACACCAAGCCCACAACCCTAACCCTAACCCTAACCCTAACCCTAACCCTAACCCTAACCCTAACCCTAACCCTAACCCTAACCCTAACCCTAACCCTAACCCTAACCCTAACCCTAACCCTAACCCTAACCCTAACCCTAACCCCTAACCCTAACCCTAACCCTAACCCTAACCCTAACCTAACCCTAACCCCTAACCCCTAACCCTAACCCTAACCCTAACCCTAACCCCTAACCCTAACCCTAACCCTAACCCTAACCCTAACCCTAACCCTAACCCTAATTTTCTCAACGTTTGTTTTTTTTCTCACCTAAAATTTACACGCTGTGTTTACATTTGGAACTCTCTAGTTAAAGCACCGAGTTCGAGTTATCGCCCGTGTTGATACACGGTTAGATAATATTTAACAGTTCTCTCTTTATTGGCAAAATAATTAAAAAAAAAGGGCAAACCGCCTCAGTGCTTGTCAAACCATCGGACGATAATGCATATAATGAGGGCAATTTACAGTCATGGGTAATTAACTTGTAGCTATAGTAGTATAAACAGGTTTCTTTTAAAAATGACCAGTGCTAACCGACGCCTATTTCTCTGAGTTAAAGAAAGACACGAGCTCTCAGAATAAAAAATCTTCACATGTTGATTTATGTTTAAGAAAAATATTTTTGCGAATGCAATGCACGCGCAAATTTGCTAAAAATTTATCTATAGTAAAAATTTCCAGATTTACGGTACTTGTAATACATTTTGGATTTGATTTTAAATATGCCCTATTTACAGATTCAGATTTTTGTGTACAAGTCTGATATTTGATTCTATCAAGATATCTTTGTCCTAAAGTCAAATTTATACAGTCTTTTAACAAAACTTTTTTTTTCTGCATGTTTAATTCATATTCAATAGGCAACACTGAAGATTTCCACTTATTGCTTTTCAGTCCACAACAGGAAAAGGAATAGAGTTGACAGGACTTCCCGCACTGCCCCTGGTAGGAGGGAACCAACCGCAGTTAGGGAGAGCACACTTCATCAAAGGTAAGTAGCCGGAGTAGTGTTTGTAGCATTTCTCGTACTCTGTCCTGCATCGACGCTTCAGGTTCAAGGCAAATCTTCTCTGCATGGATTCTTTTATGGCCTTGGTTCTTCCCTGAAACATGTGACTGCTGAATGGAGCCTTAGCAGTCTTATTTCTTTGAGAGTCAAAGAAGTGGCGCAAGTCGTTAAGGTTTTCAATCACATTTCCTTGTTTTGCAGATGCACCAAACGCAGCGGCACCGTCTCCATCACTGGTGAAAGGGGATATGATTAGTGGCCAGTCATCACTTTGTAACTCACCAACACAATTAGCGGCCCATCTATTCTCGTCTCCACTGGTGGTCTCAGGAGGAATGGTTGCAGTGCAGCCTTCATGTCCTGGGCAGGTAACTTCCTTTTCCTTTGCTTCGTAGGTATGCGCCTTTCTTACATAGTTCATTTTCACAGAATACTGCTACCACATCCTTCCTCTTGGTCACATTTTCACTTACGGTATACGTCACTTTTGTGGCAGCTTGGAATGGGGTTTTCCCAATTTCACTGAAGGTGGCATTATTGTACTGAGTGTCTCCTTCCCCTCTGATGGGGGTTTCAGGAAGTCCATATCTTTCATAAAGTTATTGAAGATTATGCCAAATTTTCTTCTTACTTTTTTTATTTACTGCGGTCATAATTTTCCCCACTTTGTTGCAGGTCTGTTGCATGTTGGTGGCTGACGCTGGTACAATATTTGCACCAAGAAGCATACCACGTATCCCCTCTGTTCTAATGACTGGTACCCAGGTGACCAACAGCCATGGCCACATTCAGCTGTGCAGCTCTTCGTCCCCTGCCAGATCTTCTCACCTCTTCGTAAATCTTTTCTCGGTGACTGGTATAGTGGCACTTCTTACATCGAAAGGAAAGGATCCATGCCAGGCCTCGTTTTTCCTCCCCCTGCTGATTCCAGTCCAGTGGACCATCACAGTCTGGAAACTTCTGTGAGTGTTCTTTAAATGCCTTGTTCCACAATTTTGCAGTCTTTTCTTGGTGAAGTACTATGTATAATTTTGAATTTGGGTCATCTGACACAGATTCCATGTAGGTGTCCACTGGCTGGACCTCACTTGGCCCGGGTCGTAAAAACTGCATCTCGCTACTTCGGCTCTTGGCATCTATAACTGCAAACACCCCAAGTTTCTGTGGCCGTACAATGTCCTGAAACTCTTCTTTAATTAGTCTTCTTATGGGAAGCAGAGATTGGACTGGGCTGGTGGTCCCTATTCTCTTCTGGCCTTTGTTGTGAGGAATACTTCCTTTTTAGCTCACCTGAACCAAAGGCTCAAATGAGCTTTTCTGATGAAAATTTGTCCATCGTCTGTCGTTGTTGTTGTCGTTGCCGTCGTTGTTGTCGTAAACTTTTCACATTTTCACCTTCTTCTCAAGAACCACTGGGCCAATTTCAACCAAACTTGCTACAAAGTATCCGGGGGTAAAGGGGATTCAAGTTTGTTCAAATGAAGGGCCACGCCCTTCTCCAAGGGGAGATAATCATGAATTAGAGAAAAAAATATTGGCATTTTTAAACAATCTCCTTTTCAAGAACCACTGGGCCAGGAAAGATGAAACTCATGTGGAAGGATCCTCAGGTAGTATAGATTCAAGTTTGTTCAAATCATGACCCCCGGGGTTATGGGTGGGGCCAAAATGGCCGATCAAAATTTTACCTTGGAATATATAGGAAAAATCTTTAAAAATCTTCTTCTCAAGAACTACTAGGCGAGGAAAAATGAAAATCATGTGGAATCATCCCAAGGTAGTGGAGATTCAAATTTGTTTAAATCATGACCCCTAGGGGTAGGGTGGGGCCAAAATGGCCGATCAAATTTTTACATTGGAATATATAGGACAAATATTTAAAAATCTTCTTCTCAAGAAACAATGGGCCAGGGAAGATAAAACTCATGTGGAATCATCCTCAGGTAGTGTAGATTCAAGTTTGTTCAAATTATGACCCCTGGGGGTAGGAGTGTGGCCAAAATGGCGGACCACAGATTTAAATAGGAATATATAGGAAAAATTTTCTTCTAAAAAACCATCGAGACAGGAAAGATTAAACTCCTGTGGAATCATCCCCAGGTTGTGTAGATTCAAATTTGTTCAAATCATGACCCCCCAGGGGTAGGGTGGGGCCAAATGACCGATAACAGTTTTACATAGGAATAAATTGGAAAGTCTTTTAGAATCTTCTTTTCCAGTACTTCAAAGCCATGCTTAGTGATATTTATAGGGAATTATCCTCAGGTAGTGTAGATTCTAGTCTGTTCAAATCATGACGCCCTGTGGATTAAAATTCATGCCCCCCCCCCCCCCCACAAACAGTAAACTTTCAGTTCTGATCTGATATGTGCTTTTTCCTAGCCAATTGCTCAGGTGAGCAATGTGGCCCGTGGGCCTCTTGTTTGTATTGATGTTGATGCTACCATATTGGTCCTTTTTTTGGCATGGTAATTATTTCACTGTATATTTGTACAGATTTTCTAAGAATATGCTATTGTATGTGGTGCACATTTTTAAGTATTGTAAACTTTTGTGTTGTTTATTTATTTTAGAGCTGCCAGGACAAGAGAAACTCCATTCTTTGATGACTGATGGATAAGCCTCTTCACCCCACACTGCTCAAGAATCCCTTATCTTAATTCAACAGCCATTAATCAGTGATCACTGTTACCAAACCTCCAAGGTACATTATTGAAGTCTCTTTTGACACCATTTTTTCCAGTCTCTCAGTTTCTTTTAAAATTAAGATTTCACTTGCTCGTTAACTAATAGCACGAACTCATGCGCATGCACGTGCGCCTTGCTCTGATTGGCTTAAGACAAATCTCAATACTTCTTTTGTTCTTTGACGAATGGCTTTGAAATTTAAAGAACTTTGACAGCATGGTATGTCAACTCATACTTCTTTATTTCCAAATCTGTTCATAGCTAATAATAACCACAGTAAAAGTGTTACCATATTTACATAAATGATTGAAACTCAACTTAATTTTATTATTTTGAAGGTTCAGTGCAAGAGACAAGAAAAGGAAAATCTGGAGCAGGGCCACAAAATTCAAGGAGCACCATCTGTTGCAGCCCAGAGTTTACCTTCCCCGCTGCAGAAACTAGACGCCCTTTAATTCGGTACCACTGAGCCTCATGGCTTCACAGTGATGGAAAACACAGTGCAAAAGAGTAAGAATGGAAGACGCCGGATCTTTCCTGTACAGGCTAACATCTTACCTGTCACAGAACCAGTGCCGTATCTGTGAACATTACCAGCGTCAATGATTACCGGAAATACACCTCCCTCCTTTTCACCTGAACTTCCTTATTCTACCATACATTACCACAAAAAAAAGTTTGAGGCTGCTCAAGCGGGGGAATTTAAGCGCCAGTACACCAGGCGGGCCACAGTTACATCATGTGGGAAATGTGTGGGGAGGATAAGAGTGGAGGAGGACACCAGCAGTACTATGGTAACATCTACTGCCCAAACAAAGCTGGTGTGCCATATCAGGAATGGAGGGAAGCTTTTAAAACCAGGGGATATGAAAAAAAGAAAAGCAAAAACTGATCAGCAAGAGCCATCTCAGAAAGAGACAAAAGACCAGTAATTACTATTCTACCCCACATACAGTGTACCATTCTAAAAAATAACTTTCATCAATCAAAGGAAACATCTGTGACTATTATAATCAGAGGAAACATCATTGACTATTAAAAAAAATTTTAATGCTGCCTAGTTTTGACACTGATATAAGTAGAAGGTCCCAAGCCCTAAGAAACAATTGGTAATCTGCATTCATATGTTTTGCTTTTATTACTACTTCTTTAGTAAAGGAGAGGGAAAGTTTTTTTTCTTAGTTTTTATGTATATAACTGTTTTACTCATTTGTTACATGACATTCCCATGGTGCAATGGTAGCAAATATTGTCCCTGAGGACAAGAGATCTAGGTTCAAATCCTGTTTGGTTCTTACAAAGTAACAAGAGTAAAACATTTTAATTTGGAAAAGGAAAAAAAAAAGATGTATTTAGTACATTTATATGTCATGAAAAGGCTTTTAAATTTCAAACTAATGGTTTTGGCATAATTTGTTAAAAATATTCATTATTGAAGAGGTTATTCAATCAGAACATATAAAATATGAGTAAAGAAAATATTTTTCCCTTATTAATCATTGCATCCCCCTTTTATTTCTTTTTTTTTGTGGAAGTTTCAAAATCTGAAGAATGTCCCCCCACCTCATAGCTTGGTGTAGGTTTCTCCTCAGTTTACCATACATAATATTATATGAGGTAGTATTTTATTTAGCAAGTAACTTTTTCTTTCTAGGACATTTTAGCAGACATAACAGATGAAATTTGGCAATAAATAGACGATTCAAGGAACTCTTAAAGGTCTTACGTAAGGAAATACCCAATCAAAATGAACTTTACTCAAATGAAGTTCTATATACCTTGAGACAATATCTTTCTCTTTTTTCATTTTGGGCCACTCTTCCTAGGTATACAATTTCAATTTTAGAATCAGGTACTAGGGATATCATATCTTTAGCAGAATTGTGCCACTGAATTAAAGGGAACTCTTTTTCAGGTGCACGTGATAATAATTTCCTGGATGATTCGTAGCCTGCTTGTCAACATCTGAAACCCGTGTGTATTTAGGGGTAGGTGTCACCTTAATTGCAATTCCCTTTCTTAAAAGCCACATAAGGGGTATTTCTTCTGATCTAAAATTTCTGTCGAAGCATTAATCTTTGATTCTATTTTATGAATTATCTGCTGATATTGTAGTTAATTTATTAATTTAATTACGTTTATATAGTAACATATCATGAAATTTTTTTATTGTGTGAGACCTAAAAGGGGGTGAAAATGCCCGATTGCGAAGAATTGGTATATGCCTTGATTTGCATTAGAAATAGGAAATGGTAATGCATTAAAATGACTGACTGTGGTAAAAGAGGTTACGACAGTTTTAAATAAATACATCAGTCTATATATTTTTATCATACTTCATATGTAGATAAATATTGACAAGAGATATGCTACTGCATTAACATCTCTGACCTTCACCCCTGCTTTGACCTTGCGCTCACATTTTCCTAAATACATGTCAAACTACATATGCTGATACATACTGATGTAAGCAATCCAACTGCATCAAATTCTTTGTCCTTGACCTTTTCTTTGACCTTGACCTCAATTACATAACAATGTGTTTAATTCATTTTTACATAAAGATTTCATTTTAGATATTTTTTTTCAAACGTCATCTGTGGATACATATTGATCAGATATATGCAATTGCATCAGCTTTTTGGACCTTCATCGTTTCTTTAAACTTTGACTTTTTTTACCTTGTCATTTGCTTTGACACTGACCTCAAATCCCATAAATTAGTGTCAGACTTCATATGCAATAGCATTTTCCAGGTAAGAATTTCAACTGCATCAAAATTTTGACCTTGACCTTTCATTTGACCTTGACCTCATTCCTATCATATGGTTTTTTAATGTCACTTTTAAAGATACCATTAATCATATTTCAGGCTGATACATACTGATGACAGTTAAACTTTTTCAAATTCAATGGATCATAGCTGACTGGCATTTAAATTCTTAATCATGCTATTGTCTGAATTCCTAAGTTACATTTTGAACCTATAAATAAATATATTTATACAAAAATATTCCATTTCAGTTAAAATTTAGATTTTAAACCTGTGCTTTCAATTTCAACAATCCTTTAATCAACAAATAGGTGCATTCTTGATTAATTAAGTAACGTGATCATTTTCAGTTTCTAACCTGTACCCCAAAACTCTATCTCATTAACATTTGGTGTTAACCCTTAACATATATATAGCAAAAAACTTGAGATTTATATGTATTCCAAAAAAATAGGCACCAATCAGGAATAGCAACATCTCCAAATTAATTAAGTGGCCCTTGCTCTTTTAAAACACGTTTTTGCTACTAACCGTGTATTGCGGAAAGTTAGAAACAAGGTTTATTTAATTCATTCAAGACGATTACTACTTTGTTGATATATTCTAAATGCATAAGTTATCTAATTCTTTAAGTGACATTTTACACTTCCGAACCACAGGTTTCAGAAAATTTGATCACTTTTAATGATATCTTCCCATAATAAATGTCAATAAAATAAAAAAATATCGGGTTCTTATTTGTAGAACTTAACGGTATAAGTATCGAAAAAAATATTCAAGTTAATACAACTTTAGGAAAACACAGGTATCGCAAAATGTAGACATCAATGACGTCATTCTTCTGAGGTTGCGACATCATTTTTCAACTAACTTAGTATTCCAAAACTTTGATACACGATATCTTTTGTTAAGTGTTTACATACTAAAACTTGTTTCAATTTCAATAACACATAAAATTCAAACAATGATTAATAAACATTTCACAATTTCTAACCCTTGGGTTATTATATACATTCCATTTTCTGCAATTTAGGTCTTTCCAGCTTTCTCTGGAAAGACCTATTGATATTCTTCTGTTTCTTTTTTTCCTTATTCTTTATTATTTTTCCGCCGTGTGATTTTTTGTTTCAAGATTTATCAAAAAGACTTTGAGTCAATAAGAATGTACCTCGTAAAAGATTTTCGCAGTTGACCCTGCGTATATGAATTTTGACAACTATCGGAGTTACGACCCCTTTCCCAATAAAAGCTTGTT